GGCAAAGTCCAACACTTTCACGTGCCAGTTGTGTGACTGTACATCTCATGCAGATTGGCTTTTCACAATAATAATAGTAACTTGAACGTATGAAGACCTATTTCGTTTTGTAACCAATGCCTTAAAAAAGGCTCTTGTCTTTTAAGAAGCAATAGCTTTTAAAACATGAAGAAATAAGTTGTCGGAGTTAAAGACTGTTTCACTGAGTAGAATCGCACGTGAAAACCTCGTGAATTGTGATGAGGCAACCACCTACCATAATGATAAAAATCCTGGTATTTCTTAACCACTCGAATTCGATGAGTCACATTTTGGCTTAAGAAACTCCGAGGAAACCTTAGAGTTTTCCTTCTAATCAACGTTTGGTGAGTAGATATTTATTTACTTTAACAATTTGTTTAACTTGCACCAAATGTAACAGGGAAAGACAGAGGAAAGTAAATATATAGCCTACGGATCAATGCAGCTGAGCGTTTCGTGTTTTCATTTACGTACGGCAATACCCAATTTCGCACAAAAACCGAGTCTACATTTAAGACGAAAAAGGTAGATTCATCACTCTTGGTAAGGTTACACTGAAGCATTCAAAATAGCTCATGCACGTTTAACGTGCCTGTGTTTACACATTTGTTCTGGGTTTATCCTCCACAGATTGGATTTCAAAGCTCATGGACTGACAACTTTACATGCTCAAATGGAATGATCAGTCATGTCTGGGTAGCAGCAAGACCTCCACTGAAATAGAGCTTCAAGAAGAGCCACATGTTTTACCATGTACGCCTTTGTCGCATGGTGAACCACATTCCCAACCAAAGTCCATTCATGAAATATCATCCTTAAGATATGGAAGCAACAGAAGACAACTCAGCTATGAAGGTGACATTAATTTGTGTATTTACAGTCAACTCTCTCAACGGATACCTCTATTAGATGGACACCTTACTAAAATGGACACCTAGAGTCATCCTATCTGTAAGACGGAAGTGTCTCTAAGATAGACACATAGTGCCGGCCCCAAAGGTGTTCATCTTAAGGCCGATTTAGAAGGTACAATTTTTGCTTATGACTTTTGTGCGAGACTAGCATATGTTTTTGACCATCCAGAGGTCCACAGTAGGGTTCTCAAATGCTGCCTTCCCGTTTGAATTTTCACTCTCAATCCTGCTATCCTGGCTATTTTATTTCAGAATCTCGATCCCGCCATATTTTTTCCTTCGAGTTTCTTGCTTTCATTATACAATGTTTAAGACTTACCTTCTTGCAACAGGGAGCTTTGATGTTTAAGGTTCTTGTCGTAGCCATTAGCGACCGTAGCTTTATCTCCTGTTTTGCTTATTTATTTATTTTGTTTATTTATTTATTTATTTTTGAGCACATCAGCACAAAATAGAAGGTTTACTTCGATCTGAGTTCTGGCCATCTTGAAACAGCCAGTTGAGTTGGCGTATATAGATGTTTCGATTTCTTTACTGTTAGATTCCATTAGGCGATGAAGCCAATTGTCTACACTGACTACGGGTCATGGAAAATGTGTATGATCGAACAGCACAACCGAATGCAAACAACCCCCATGTAGAAAGTTTACTTTTCCACCCTTCTTGGACTTGGTCCTCGATTGTTGTTTAAAAATCTCTTTATTTTCTTCCATTCTTAAATCCGCACAAACATAGGTGTGTGTGACCTGCAATAGTTTGCAAAACAGTCCTTTTTTTCACAATCGGTTTTGAAAGGTGCCAAGTACGGGCGAAGACTGTATAAAATTAACCTTGCATTTTTCGCCTCTTTAACTAGTTTCTTGGCCTCACTTCAGACCTCTTCTTTGAAAGTTCGCGCACGCCGTCTTTACCAAGTACCGGAATCAGACAAAAACACGAACAGGTGATAATGGATAAATTTGGCTGGATTCATTTCCTTGGCGACTAGTACAAAGGCAGTGAACACAAAAGAGTCAAAATGTAGTCACAACAAAACTTAATTCCCATATCCTGCTACCTTTCCCTTACGATTCCCGCATCCCAACCCAATAAGAATGGGAAATCCCGCTCCCGCTTATTACCAAAATTCCCGCCTTTCGCTCCTTTTTTTAGGTCGCATCCCCATCCCGAGTATCATCACAAAAAATAGCCAAATCCCGCATTCCGCCAAACCTATTGTGGACCCTCAATCCACAGGCGTACAATTTTCATTTCAACATCCACAATGTGTCGTACGAATGTCGTGGGTTCAATTTACATGGCATCATCTGTTGTGAAGTCATGATGCATGCTAGTTGCTCAGGATAGTCGTATAAAGCAAAAATCATACCATCTAAATCGACCTTAAGGTACATTCAACTGTATTAGTAACTGGATTGTCGGTTTTTATTGTTGATGGCTCATAACAAGTATTGCCAATCCAATATTTCAGGTTTAAAACTCACAGAGTATTTTTTATAAGGTAAAAATCATCATTCCGTGTAAAAAGATGGGAGAACTTGAAGTTTTCCTTGCTAAGCATGGCGGACAAATCTCGGCTGTGGAACCTCTTCAGGTACAAGATACCTGTAAGTACCTTTAATGTTAATGATATTTTAATAATAATTTATTATTATTGAAGGAGGTCTGTCTGGCTTCGAGATTTGAGTGACTGTGGACAAATTTCTGCCATACTATGATCTCTACGCAAATGAAGCTATTAAATTACACTGTAAGCCCTTAAAGCGTTATTACTGACGAAACAATATAAGTTGTAAAATTCTTTGTCACACTTTTAGGCAGTTCTTGGACTGGTCAATTCCTTTTCATTAATTAAGGCCCCATCCAAATGAATCCAGTCATTTTTGAAACTGCATATTTTTTCTCCCCAGATTGGTGGGAATATGAGCTTGAACGTTTCTTAAGAACGAATGTTGCATTGGATTGAGTAAAAATTGGAAATAGTCAAACAATATCTTCCCTCGTACTTTGTGTGTATTTAGTACTTCAGGTGAAACTACTCATTGTTACATTTGTTTGTCTTCTAACAAAAACCTGTACTAGGCATCAAGGGAGGGCGGAAGTTTGGGCCAAAAATTGCATTTTTTGGGACAATTTCTCCTTGAAAGTTACAGTTTTGTTAGGTAAATAGTACAGAAGCAGACAAACAGTAAAAAATCTGTTTACATGATAGAAAAATATCATCCTTCCTCTCAATAAAGATTTTATCAGTTTTTCTCGAGGGCCCCCCCTGACTACCCCTGTTCATTGTCATTTACAAGGAGGGGGAAACATTTTTTCTCAAGCATTTTTTGTTATGCAAGTCACTAGAGTCACCCAAGTCACTCCCAGCATGCTAGTCACCCAAGTCACTCTAATTAACCAAGTCACCCAAGTCACCTAAGTCACCCCAGTCACCTAGTCACCCAAGTCACCCAATTCACTCTTGTCACCCAAGTCACCCAAGTCACCCAAGTCACCCTAGTAATCCTAGTCACCCTTGACACCCAAGTCACCCTAGTCACCCAAGTCACAGTAATCACCCAATTCACTCTACTCACGGTATTCATCCAAGTCACCCAAGTAGTCCTAATCACCCAAGTCACCTCTAGTCAGCCTAGTCACCCAAGTCACTCTAGTCACACCAGTCACTCAAGTCACTCAAGTGACCCTAATCGTCCAAGTCACCCTTGTCACCCTTGTCACCCTAGTAACCCTAGTCACCCTAGTCACCCAAGTCACCCTAGTAACCCTAGTCACCCTAGTCACCCAAGTCACTGTAATCACCCAATTCACTCTAGTCATGGTATTCATCCAAGTCACCCCAAGTAGTCCTAATCACCCAAGTCAGCCTAGTCAGCCTAGTCACCTTTGACACCCAAGTCACCCTAGTCACCGTAGTCACCCAAGTCACCATAGTCACCCAATTCACCCAAGTCACTGTAGTCATCCAATTCACTCTAGTCATACCAGTCACCCAAGTCATCCAAGTAACCCTAATTACCCAAGTCACCCTAGTCATCCTAGTCACCCAAGTCATCATAGTCACCCAATTCACTCTAGTCATCCAAGTCACCCAAGCAATCCTAATCACCCAAGTCACCCTGGTCAGCATAGTCACCCTAGTCACCTAAGTCACCCTAGTCACCCTAGTCTCCCTAGTCATCCAAGTCACAGTAATCACCCAATTCACTCTAGTCACGGTATTCATCCAAGTCACCCAGATAGTCACCTTTGACACCCAAGTCACTCTAGTCACTGTAGTCGTCCAAGTCACCATAGTCACCCAATTCACCCAAGTCACCGTAGTCACCAAATTTACTCTAGTCACGCCAGTGACCCAAGTCATCCAAGTAACCCTAATCACCCAAGTCACCCTAGTCACCCTAGTCATCCTAGTCACCCATATCACCCTAGTCACCATAGTCACCCTTTTCACCGAAGTCACCCTAGTCACCCAAGGCACCCAAGTCACCCAAGTCACCCTAGTCACCCTTGTCACCCAAGTCACCCTAGTCGCCCTAGACACCCAAGTCACCCTAGTCACCCAAGTCACCTAAGTTACCCACGTCACCCTAGTCACCCCCTTCACCCAGGTTACCCTAGTCACCCTTGTCACCCTAGTCAGCCTAGTCACCCTAGTCTCCCTTGACACCCATGTCACCCTAGTCACCGTAGTCACCCAAGTCACCCTAGTCACCCAAGGCAGTCACCCTAGTCACCCTAGTCACCCAAGGCACCCAAGGCACCTAAACGCACCCTTGTCACCCAAGTCACCCTGGTCACCTTAGTCACCCTTGTCACCCAAGTCACCCTAGTCACCCTTGTCACCCAAGTCACCTAAGTCAACCTATTCACCCAAGTCACCCAAGTCACCATATTCAACATTATGTTCCTAGTCACTCGAGTCTCCCTAGTCACCCTCGTCACCACAGTCTTTTCAGTCATCCCAGTTATCCCAGTTTAGTAACTATTCATCCTTCCAGTCTCCCTTATAATTCTTTTTAGTCATTGTACATGTTTTTAGTTTTCTTTGTGATCTTAGTC